CAACAACGAGAGAGCTCTGTCGGCCTAGCGGATAGAAAGTGATGCTACCAAGCCCAAGGTGGGTGATTTTAATCTACAGCCCTCAGGCCTGGTTTTAATTGGTTTTGGTCAAACATTCTTCTAAGTGGTTTAGCACTGATATGTCCATTTGCTGTACGGAGGTAACTCGTGCTTGCTGTGATGCTGAAAACTGTGACACTGATGTGTCAAATGCGATAATGATTACCCATGGTGGACAGAGTTTATTGGAGCTCCCTGATTAAAACAAGCTTGGAAGCGGGAGTGGCATCCACTTCTGAAAGAGCTTGCCTCCAGAAACTATATGAACTTGGAGAAATGATGTCAGTTATACAAGTGTTCAGGTCTTTCATTCATAGGGTTGCTTATGAGTCGTCTACGACCCGACGGCACTTAACAGCAGCAACAATAAAAACTAATATAAATATTTAGAAGATTTATAGCCTATGACCCAGTAATTTAATCCATCCCAGTTTTAATCCATCCTACAGATCTCCACCGAGAGATAGAAAAAACTACGTGTGCGAAGATGTGTATTACAGCATGAAGTCGACCGAAAGCGCCAACAATAACAAAAAGCAGCACCTTCCATGTTGACCAGCAGAGGGCTCTTACATAAAGCACTGACGTCTCGTCTACTCCCCAGAACACCGTCCAGCCACCATACAGAGAATGTAGTAGACTCATGCAGCTAATATGGAATTCTACTTCCATTGAGAGGATTTCAACTCAGAGACCCTAGGGGACAGAGAAGAACTGCCCTCAGCGTTCCCAGGGCTACATCTTTATGGGAGAGCAGACTGTCTCATCTTTCTCCTAGGAAGCAGCTGGGGAGTTCGAACCACTCGTCTTCTGACTAGGAGCTACTGCACCCCCACGCCTCCTTAGTTGTTATGGAAAGTTCTCCAAGAATATATTATTGTTGTTGTTGTTGTTGTGTACCATCAAGTCAGAAGTGACCCACTGGCTGACCCTCGAGCAGGTTAACCACATGGGAAGGGACTGTCCATCCTTCTCCCACAGAGCAGCTGATGGACTTGAACCTCATGTCTTTGGGACTGCAGTGCGACTTCTTACCACTAGGCCACCAGAGCTTTATAATAAGTTAAAAAAAATTATGGGAAGCAAAAACAGGCAACATCAATTGATTCCATGAGTATACAAAGATATAGAAACATATTCAGTGACTGGGGTAATTGGGATGGGAGTGTCAGAGACAGTGCGATTGGCACAGGACAGAGCAGAGTTTAGGGCTGTTGTACATAGGGTCACTATGAGTCGCAAGCGACTCGACGGCACATAACAACAACAACATATACGCATATGCACACAACTCGTACCTAAATAACAAGGACATGAGACACAGTTCACAGTGGCCCTGGAGAGGTGGTGTGTAATATCTTGGACAGTGTATCGAAAGCTCAGGGGTTCAAATCCACTGGCTGCTGCAGAGATGATGAGCAGTGTCCAGTCAAAAAGATTTCCAGTCTCAGACACTCAGTGGAGGGTCGCGATGAGTCAGACTCAGTGGCAATGGTTATGTCTAATGAGCATAAACAGTAGCAAGTCATTTAAACCCTTTCTTGTTAGCTTTTCTGAAGTGAAAAGGGACATATAAAAGGGAGCACGGGGAAGCCAGGCTGACCCAGGTGTGTGTCAGGTACAGGAGAGGTATAGGCCTGGAAGACTAAGCGGACCAGCAGGGACCAGAAGGAAAAATCGTAACAGTAGAGTTCTGCCTCCAGTTGCCCAAGATGGAGCTCCAAGACAAGTCAGGACGGGGTGAGTACAGTTGTCCTAAGCAAGTCAAAGAAAAGGGGACAGACAGCACAAAATCAAGCCAAACTCCAATGGCATAAGCAATGCTAATCACTGTAAAGAAGTCACGTCAGGTGGTCCTCAGAGACACAACAGGAGGATTAACTAAGGGTTTCTGTCTTGTTCACAGGGTCGCTAAAGGTTGTAGTTCACTGGGATTTAATGGTTCCCAACAACAACACAGAAGAATTTCATGAGACAACGTATGATCTAGAGCCCATGGTAATGAAGGAGGAAGTTCAAGCTGCTCTGAAGGAACTGATAAAAAACAAGGCCCCCAGGATGGATGACGTCCCAAATGACATATTTCAACAAATAAATGCTGCCCTGGACACACTCACTAGGTTGTGCGGAGAATTCTGGAGGATAACCACCTGGCAACTGATTGGAAGAGATCTGCGTTTGTTTCCACTCAAAAAAAAAAAAAAAAAAAAGGTGACCCAACAGTGTGGAAATTATCAAACAATATCATTAATTCATATCACATTAATAATATTATTATATATTAATTCTATTAAGTAATATCACATGCAAGCAAGAGCCTGTTGAAGATTATCCAAAAACAACTGGAACAGCACATCAGATGTGCAGGTTGAGTTTAGAAGAAGTCATGGCACCAGGGACATGACAGCCAATATCAGAAGGATCTTAGCTGAAAGCAAAGAGTACCAGAGGAATGTCTGTCTATGTTTCATTGACTAGGCAAAGGCATTTGACTGTGTGGATCACAACAAGTTGTGGCTAACCTTGAGAGGAAGGGGAATTCCAGAATACCTAATTGTGTTTATGTGAAACCTATACTTGGGCCAGGAAGCTGTCATCAGATCAGAGCAAGGAAACCCTGCAAAGTTCAAAATCAGGAAAATGGTATGCCAAGGATGCATCCTATCTCCATACCTTTTGAATCTTTATGTGGAATAGATCACCTGGAGGCTGGATTTTATGAGAAAGACTTTAACAGCAGGATTGGAGGAAGACGCATCAATAACCTGCATTATGCAGATGACACAGCCTTGCTTGTTGAAACTGAGGGCCTGAGGGATTTGCTTCAGAAGGTCAAAGACTATAGCCTTCAATAAAGACTGAAGCTCGGTATCAAGAAAACAAAGATTTTCATCACTGGGTCAACTGGCAGCACCATGACAGACGGAGAAGAGACTGAGACTGTTAACAGCTTCAGTTTTGCTCCATAATCAACACTCTTGGCACCAGCAGGCAGGAAATCAAAAGATGAAATGCAATGGGAAAACTCTGCTGTCAGGAACCTCTCCAGAGCACTGAACAGCAACAATGCCAGTATAGAGACCAAGGTGCACCTAATCCAAACCATGGTCTTCACAACTAAGGATGACAGAAAAAGGATTGATGCCTTTGAGTTGTGGTATTGGAGAAGAGTATTGAACATACTATGAATCACTAAGAGAATAGGTCTGTCTTGGAGAGGGTGAAACCAAGCTGCTTCTTGGAGACAAGGATTTTAAAGCTCTGTCTCACATACTTTGGGAATGTTGCCAGGAGGGACCAGTCCTTGGAGAAGGACATGATATTTGGAAAGGTGGAGGGACAGAACAAGAGAGGAAGACCCCGGATGAGATAGATTCAGTGACTGGGGGAATGGGGTTAGTTGTGTCCAAGGCAATGAAACTGACTCAATATAGTGCAAGATTCAGAGCTGTAACAGGGTCACTATGAGTTGAAAGAAGCTCGATAGCACATAACAACAAACAAGTAAGAAATTTCCCGTAGCTCTGAGCAAGAAAGCCAGCAAGGGTAATATATTAAATCAATTAGCAAGTCAGATTCTTTTTTCTTTTTCTTGACATAAGGTGTTCATTAGCTCAAATTGGTTTTTTGGAATCAGCACCAATATAAATGTATTAATAAAACAACAACAAAATGTCCCCTCTGAACTTCTGTGTGAAAGCTGCAAACGTGTTATTGGTTTTATAGTGGGGTTTTTTTGTTTGTTTTATTATGTTTTTAGAGAAAGTTTTCAAAGTAGTCTGGCTTTCCTTTGAACCATTCAAGCACATCACCTCTGTAGCATTAATTACACTGAATCACCCTCCCCACCTCCCCCCGTGACTGTCAAGGAGAGTCTATGAGATGCAGAATGAAGACACGACAGGGACTGGACAGGCTGGGAACGAGAGCTACTTCTAAGCGTGTCTCTGGGTCACGTGTGTGGATAGATTCCAACAGACGCCTTCAGTTCTTAGTCTCAGTTTAGCTCAAGAAGAGGCTGGAAGCCTTTTCAACAATTTAAAAGCTGCGAGTGCATCAAGCAAAGGCGATTACGATACAGAATTTGCTGCAAGTAAGGACTGTCCCCTTTTTTCTACTTGCATTGAGATCCATTCTTGTTTTGATTTTTTGAGTGGTTGGGGCAAGCCTTTCAAAGTGAAGGGAAATTTACCTTAACACTAAAAGGCAAACACAGTTTAACCTTCATGGCCCTGGGGACTCACCGTAACTCAGTCTGAGTATATGATATCAAAAGGATATCCTTTGAGACTCCAGGTTAACAAATACATATTGCTCTGGTTGAATTTATTTTGCAGTGATTTATTTTCCTTTAATGATAGGAAATAACCACAATAATCCACAAAAAATGCCCAGCTTGTAAATCCCACACATCTAACACATGATGTCATACCAAATTCTGGAGAGAAAACCAAGTGCACTTAGGTGCCAAATTACCTAAGAGTGTTTTTGGGGTGGTTTTTTTTTACACACACTTAGCAGGCAGGAGCTCCCTGCAGAGAGCATAATCAATCTGGGGGTCCAGATATAATTTAGAGATTGATCACTGACAACAGCTAGCTTTCATGAGCTGTCAATCTGTCTACCCTGTCTCCAGAATGAAATGGTTCACTCGAGCTTCTCAACAGAACAATTAACATGGCCTGAACTGAAAACAAGGAAGGCAGTAAGAAGTCGTTTCCGGAAGCAGACAGCTTACCTCGGCAGTCTCGGATCCAACCACTCTTTCTGGCTCTAGGTCTTAATGCAGCAGACTATGAATGAAGTCCATTACAGGGGATAATTTAGAAGACAACATGATGCCCCATTTAGCCCAAAGAAGCAGGTCACTGTGGCTGTCACAGCAGCCACCCTGGTCCTGGATAGGTGGACACCTGTGTATTTCTCTGTCAGTTACTTACCTTGGAATTGGTTTCCATGTGGTATTTGGCACACGCCCGGAGCTGAGTCACCCAGTACTGCTTCTCTTTTGCATCAGGAGCTGAAAGAGAGAAAGCAGTATTTGCAGAGGTGGTTTCAAAACACATTGATTCGATTTCAACACCCACATAAATGGAGGAGGGAGGAGAGAGTGTAGGGGGACCCCCAGGGAGTGAAGGATAGAGGGACAAGGCCAAGAAAAATAAATGCAGATTGCAATCGACTCAGTCTTACTTAAACTAAGAAACTAATCACTTTCAATCTCCACCAAAAAATTCCCTCCTGGATCACATTAAAAATGTATTCTGAAATGTGTTTTATAACAACAATTTTACTTTTTTTTTTTTTAACCTCTTCTGAAAAACTCATTTAAATAGTCAGCAGGGAAAGAAAAGCATGATTCCTCATAAATACCTCTGCCTCTAGTGGCTCCTCTGAGCACCAGAGGAGAGTTTTCCAGGGCCTTTTAGATAACAGAGTTGTACTGTGATCTTATTACCACTTAGAAAGGAAGTGTTTGGTTGAATTACCATTTGAATGTGTTCTCAAAGATTCCTATCCTGACTGAATGGAACAAGATGCCAAATGCTGCCTCAGGGGTCTTCAAATTTCTCCCAAAAAGACATGAAGTTCAAGTCAGCTTCTGTCATATTCTTCCATCTATATCCCATCTCTCAAAGAGACAAGAATTGGCATATAACACGTTCCAACAAAACTTTAAGTTATTGATTTACCTGCTAAGTATATGAATTATGATGATACCAAAAAAGAAAAACAAAAGAACTTCTGGAAATTCCAATTATTTATGAATGAATGTAAGTCTAAGTGTAAATTAAAAAAAAAAAATAAAGTGGTAAATAAAATCCAACTTCAGCTTGAAACTTCAGATGAAAACAGGAAATGCTTTGGTTCAGTCTCACCAAAGGTACAGGGACCACCTTTCTGAATCTAAACTAATTTGTCTACTAGCAGCCTTGCTACACAGAAAATAGAGAATTAAGACGAGGAGAACTCAACTTCCTAAGATAAAGGACTTCGCAGGAACGAGGGCCTTTTCATCCCCTGGAGTCTTCAATATGGACTGCATCTCAACATCAAGAAAACAAATGATTTTTTTTTACCACTGAAACAACAGGTAGCATCATGACAGATGGAGAAGAGATTGAGGTTTTTAACAATTTCACCTTGATAGGACCTATAATCAATACTCTTGGTACCAGCAGTCAAGAAATCAAAAAAACGAGTTGCTTTAGAAAAATCTGCCATCAAAGACCTCTCCAGAGTGCTAAAGAGCAATGATGACAGTCAAAAGACTAAGATGCACCTGATCCAGGCAATGGTCTTCTCAATTGCTTGCTATGTATCTGAGAGCTGGACAATGACTAGTGGTGACAGAAGAAGAATCGATGTTTTTGCAATGTGGTGCTGGAGAAGAGTACTGAATATATCATGGAATGCCAAGAGAACTAACAGGTCCATCCTAAAGAGGGCAAAGCCAAGTTGCTCCTCAGAGGCAAGAATTTAGAAACTCTAAAAAAAAAAAATGAAAAAAGAATTTAGAAACTCTGTCTCACATACATCGGGCATGTTGTCCAGAAAGGATCAGTCCTTGGAGAAGGACATTATGCTTGGAAGCGTGGAGGGGCAGCACAAGAGAGGAAGAACCTGGAGGAGATGGAATGACACAGTGACTGGGGTAATGGAGGCAGGTATGCCAGAGACAGTGAGACTGGCTCAAGACAGGGAAGGGTTCAGAGCTGTTGTACGTAAGGTCGCTGAGTCATAATCAACCCGATGGCACATACCAACCAGCACTATCAAGAACTGCCCATTTATAGCAGTACTGCCCGTTAATTCTGGAATCGAAAATGTTCACTAAAGCTGTGTTTCTCCTGGCGTCACAAACGGGCTCTCCTCCAAGGCATCCCATGGGAGGAAGCCAGGGCTATTTGGGTGAGATGTTAAACGAGAAAAGCAACTCTTCGCCAGCCAGGCCAAGAACTCACTATAAAAGCACTGAAACTTATCAGTCAGGTTTATTCGGTAGTTGATATATTGAAGCTAACCTCCAGACTTGTGATTATTTCATGCAATAATGAAATTTTAATATTTGCTATTAAAGTTAGAATTCTTTAAAATTATCCTTCAAAAGCAAATAAATAACCAACCTTAGGGTTTCACTGTCCAGATTATAAGACTCCAAGAGAAACCTGAGACAGTTCAATTGTCAAAATAGTCAGGTTTTCCTTTTGCACGAGATTTACGTCATTTAATAAACCACAGGCAGAGAGACCAAAGTGTCATTAAGTTTTCACCTGCTACTGGGTGTGCTTTTAAAACTTAGGAAGCAACAAACTGCAAAGCCAAGCCCCACCCATAGAAACGCAGCCAGCTGGGAAGGGCACACAGCTCAAAGCACAAGGCAAATCGGAGCACTTTCTCCAAATCTGGAAAACTTTCTCCTTCACCCCAATGTACTGTTAAGTTTTAAATTGTTTTTACAGATGCTAAAATGTGACTTGCACATGTAATGAAAGAACAAGTCTTAAAAAGTGCTAGTCTATAGGCATTTTATTGTAAGAACCACCTTCCCTCTGTAACTTGATTTGTGTCACACTATTAGAACCTCTACTCGGAATATTATTGCTTGTTAATTTTTGACTCATGTACTTTTAACTTGTTAGTTAAATGTGTCTTCTAGGCTGCAACACTTCCATGATACATCTTCAAGGATATGAACATGTACGGCTAAGCACAATT